GTCACACCGTCGTACTGAAGGTTAGGTCCCGACAGAAGCAGGCATGTCTTATATCAATTTACAGCCTCCTGGCCGTTACTTGCTACCTACCAGAGAGATGTCTTTATTCATATACGTCCTTCTGATCCGCAATGTAGTCTACGATCTCTTGTGGACACATTAGCTTTTCTGCTTCTGCATCAGGAATTTCAAACCCTGGAAGGGAACGCACACACTCGATCTAAAGCAGGAACAGCAGCAAGGCAGGAGGCAGCTATCAAACAAGTGCTGGTGCCCATGACTTGGCTCAAATGCAGGGGTAGGTGCTCTGTAGCATACAGCTATATTGGACACCTCGCTACTAGGCTGCAACATCTTGATCCAGGAGCAGCAAATTATGCAAGAGGCACGAGGAAAACCTGGCGCAGTTGGGGCTGGCTGTAGAGCTGCACTGAGAGTTTGTGCCTCATCGAGCAAAACCAAAGCATCTAGTGCACTCCCCACGTTCCCACCCAGCCTGGTGTGCAACCACTGGGACAGGACAAGGCGTTCTGGGTAACTACAGACAAACAAGCACCTCACGTGCCGGTGCTTTGACTTGCTCTAGCAAGTGCTGCTCTAGGCAAGAGCATTTATAAAAGTGCTAGCAGGATTTACCATGTGCAGGACGCTCAGGGCTTGAGCCAGCCACCAGAACAGGCTCTAGAGAGCTCCTGCTCTCCTACGTCCAGTCCTTGCGGCTGCAAGCGAACTCCCCTCCAGATGGAAGCAGTTGCAGTTAAACTATATACTTCTGCTCAGTATGTCTTCAATTAAAGCTGTTGCAAAACCTACATACACGCTCTCTTTTTTGCTATTGTAAGTGTTTGGAATTTATAGTCAATGAATGCCAGAGCTAATTAGCTTGGCATTTAATTAAATCAACATTAACAATCACGCAATCTTACAGAAACAGAAGAACTAAGGTTTTGTTTGTAGGAGTCGACTTTGAGGTCAAATAAATAAGCACCTAGAGCGTGGGGAGCATCGAGAACTAGGAGAGCAACTGTGCAGGAGGGCACCTCAAGGCAGGATGAAGACCAGGGGCATAAACTAATAGAGGGTAAATTCAGGTTGGACACAAGGAAAAACTTTTTCTCCATAAGGGTACCAGAACGTGAAGCGCGCTCCCAGCAGGGGTGGTGCAGTCACCCTCCTTGGCAGTGTTCAAGACAGGGACCTTGCCGAGCTCATGTGAGCCCAATACTTCCTGCCCATGGCAGGGGACCGGACTCGACGATCGTACAGGTCCCGTCCGTTCTAGGACTCCAGAAAGAAAGCCCTGCATCAATAAGAAGACAGCTCAGGCTGCGCACACAACTTACCAAACTCATCTTCCATGGCCATGATTATCTCCACTTGGTCCAAACTGTCCAAGCCCAAGTCTTTCATGAAGTGGGAATCAGCTGTTAGCTGCAAGAAGAGACAAGCCCAAGGACAGACTAGTCAAATTAACTGTAATGATACCAAGGAAAGGAAAGTTAAAACAGCAGCAGAAGATCCCAATTTCACGTTTAAGCTCAAGAGGGGGAAACACATATCCTACAGCATCTCCCCCAGGAGGATTGGGAAAGGCCTTTTTCAATGGAGCAGATGATAGCGGCTTCCTTCTAAACCCTCAGATCTGGCACTACACATTATCTAAACTACCTCAACTTCCAGGATGTAAAAACAACTATTGTTAAAAACGTGAACAGATGGAAAGGGCATCTGACAATTGACAGTTTGTTGGGATCTTTCAAGATGAAGGGAAGAAAACGTTTTCATTACCCCGAGCTGCTCAGAAGAAACACAAGTTTCCTGTTTCCTGACAGCTCCTAGATGCTGACTGGGTTTATTAAATCCAGAAGGCCGGCTTCCTTGACCTTGTCACTACTCGTCTGCGACAGCGATTTGAGCCTGGCTGTGTTGCCTCCCTACCCCGCCCCCGCAGCGCGGAGCGGCATGCTGTGATCTGCAGGGCACTCGGAGCAGAGCGCGAGGCCTCCCCTTCCCCTTCCCCTCCCCCTCTCCCTGCCTCCCCCGACAGCAGCCTATGAAAAAACATGACTTCTTTACTAGACCTGCTGACCACAAGCCACCTGCCTGATAACAGCGCCTAGAGCTTACCTTTTCTGGATCTATCTTATCATACAGCTTCAAGACGTATAAAACACGCTCTTTTATACCCTCCAGGGTAAGAGGAGGCAAGTCTGAATACCGACGGCACAGCTGTAACGACGGCCCGCAGACCTGCAAAGACATCACGAGAGACTCTTGTGAAACCGCTGGGACGGCCCAGTTTGAAACACAACGTGTGCGAATGCGCTCACTCGTACAGAAAGGGTCTGCGCGTGCTGGGTTCTTCGACCCGCCTCGAAACCACTGTGTTTTACCTTGTGGGTCTGCTGTGTGTTGTCAACAGCAAATTCCCTGTGATAAAGGCTCAAAAACCCCCAAACCATCACGAGATGCAGAGGCAGCAAAGGAAGTGGGAAGAAGCTACTTCTTCCAAGAGGCCCCAGAGGGAGACGCGCTGCTCCCCCCGCGGTGGGGCCAGAGAAGCACGGCACCGCGCTCCTCTTCCCGCAGCACCCGAGGGGCGCCCTCTCCGCTGCACCGAGAAGCGCCGCAGCGAGCTCCGGCCAGGCCCCAGGCCCATCGAGCGCAGGCCGTGCACCGCACTCGGGTGCAGGAACCCTCCGCTCGTCCACCGGCATGCCGCAAACGCCTTGGCCGAGTGCCCAGGGCAGGGACCCTGCGGTGCCGCGAGACCACTGCCAGGGTGCGGCGGGTGCCACGCGGGGTCAGCACGGCGGGGGGCGCAATCCCGGCTCCAGCGTTACACCCGCGCCGCCCGCAGCCGCGGCGGGAGCGGGAGCGGGGCCGGACACGGAGACGGGCAT